TTATTCAATGGTTTGTGTATACTCGTAGTGAAACTTCTGCACTAATATTGCCATGGTATACCCAAATAATTTTCTTATAGAGTGTAATTTTATACATGTAGATATTGTTTGATATCATTATTATTTGTTTTAATGAGTTATATTGTAGTATAAATCACTGGCGTACAGAAATTAAAACCACTCAAAAAGAAAAAAAAACTTACAAAACAATAGCTAATTAAGAGAAGTAATAATTCGAGGACGAGGTAATGTATGAGTTTATTCTCTAAAACGTCAGTCAAGAAATATTCCGTCTTTCCTAAATGTCAGAAAGGGTAGTAGGTAGGGTTTGACTTATGCAGGAGTTCCATATGATCCAAGCAGAATAAGAACAACCACCAGAATAAGAATGATATGTGAAAAAAAACTTTTTATTGTTAACAATTATCATTATCTGAATTTGAACGGGCGCTTCATGATTGAAACGCACGATTTACGGAAAAAACCAAATCAATGGTTTTTCTATCAAGCTTCTTACCGGAACCAACAAATCACCCGGATCAAAATTATTACTGCACAGTTCCAAGTATTAAATAGGACTGTCTTATTGAACACGTCATACATTCAATTGCATACATAATGAAATATATACACCAGTCTTTTGTCACGAACTTAATATTTCCAGTTCAGACGTTGGCGATATGAGTAATAGGAGAGTTGATTAAATATAACTATGCGCTATTATTGTCATTAATTTATTCGGGCTAGAGATCGTTTGGTGTCAAATTTCTACCATTATTCATTAAGTTTTTTTTATTGGGAGTATAATTTGCAAAGCATGACAGAGTAACATATGTAGTACCTATACTGAACGCGTGTAGTTTGAGAGAATCGATTTCAAGTGATTTTTTAAAGTTTGCCGTGATTCTAAAGAATTTCTATTCTGCAAATGAATTTTGGCATAATTATTTTACAGCTTGTCATTAGATGTGTCGGATCGCTTTATTTATTTACTATTTAGATTTTCTTTAAATTTTCCCTTCCGCGGATACGTAGACAAATAAGGATTATTAGTGTCTAAGGGTACGGATAGGGACCTCAAGTTTTCTGTTCAGTTAGTGCTGTTATTGTAATACAATACACGACCTTGGCACAACATTTTTGATGTTCAAAACATCGAAGTTCAAAACTAAATAACACAGCATTTGCGCTATGCGTAATTTTTTAAATAATGATTTTAATTTTTACGTCATAAAGAAGTAGTCAAACTAGCAAGTCACTAAATTATATATGTATTTAAATTTTTATTTTTAGCAAAACAAATTTAATTTTGTATAAGATCTTCTCAAGAGCCACTACAAACTAAAGCATACGGACACGATCTTATCTTATTTTGAAATAATTGTGGTACCTACACACTACATCCTGTTGGACACAATCCAAAAATATATAGAAATTTGTTTAGAAATCACACCGAAGTTTATGCTTGTGTTTAGATGGCACTTTGTATTATTGTTATCACAAACCGATTGAATTGCAATGCTTATGTTTCAATGTTGTACTAACGGTCTAGCTGTAAATATAATCTATGAACACATATTATAAATAAAAAAGAAATGAGTGTCTGTTTATTATAAAGAGTAATTAGAGAGAAGAGAAAGAAGAGAAAAATAATTAGAGCTCACCAAAAATATATTTAAATCTTCTTCTAATCATCCTCTTCTTTCTTTAATCTTCCTTCTTCTTAATGGGTTAAGAAGTGAGAAGGAAGTTAGGTAGTTCAATTTAAATTTGTTTATAGCATTTTGTTTTAGTGATTGCAATTTTCATATAGTCCGCTCGTATTCTTTTCTGAGTCTGCCTGAACTAGAGCTGTATTGGACTAGTATAGTGCTGCTAGTGAACAAGTCTTGAGGTAAATGTAAAAATTCAGGTGTTGAGGCACCTGAAAGGATATCTCTTAGGAATATCTAAAAAGAATATCTCTTACCGACTTCGCCTGCGTTGGTTTCGATTTTTCCATCAATTTTTCTTTTTTAACAAATACCCTAAATTTTAGACTATAGTCTATCTCTATACACAATTTCACCCGGATATTTTCAGCCGTTCAGGCATTATTGAGTAACGAAATAACCATACATCGATCTTCTCAAGCTTATACGTTAATATTGTTCATATTTATTGTTTAAAAAATATTTTTCATATTATAATTTTGTTAACATTACCTAATAAATAAGTAATTTATTTTTTACAAAAATAATTATTCAAATGTGACTGGGGTATCAGAAATTTGCCCTTTTAAACTAACATATATTTAAAAAACACTTCGGCTTTATGATACAAAGATTTTTAATATTTAATATAATATTATAATTTACATAAAAGAAAACACCTAGATGTTTGAACATTACTAAAAATATGGTAATTAATTTTATCATCCTTAATTATGCATCTTTTACTAGAATTAACCTTAGTTATTGTATTACAAGTTTTGCCACGTGCTTAACCATATCATCATTCATTTTCATTCATCATAATCATCATTCATGCTGCATGCATGTATGCTGGGCGGAGACCCTTTGGCTGCTTAGTGCTGGACGCAAGGAGACGGAAGTGATGTCTCCTCGCGTTAGGGCTGTCATCCATCCGGGTTTTCCCAGATTTGACCTAGTTTAAAAAACGTCTGGGGACCGTCTAGATGTAGTTTCATTTGTAGTCTGGGTTTGATGTTTTCTTGTTTCAGTCGGCAGCGCGAGTTAGAAGAAGTCTAGTGCCAGAAGAAGCTTAAAATATGGGTAGTAATTTAAACATTTATTTAGCTTGTCAAAAGCAGACTACTATTTTGAAAAAAAATCCAAAACTGTAAGAAGATTCTTTTCGTCACTGACTTCGATGAAAGATGGCTAAATTTAGTTAAAAAATTATGACTAATTAAATTTATATACTTTACTATTATATATTATAAATTAAGTGACGGATTACGAGTACTGAGTGTCACCATTCCTATTAATCCCAAGACTCAGAACAACAATTTGTGGATCATACAGAGTGTTGTCCCATGTCTGGATCAAACCCACAACACTTAGCGCAGTACGAAGAGACGAGGTGACCGCTTAAACCAGTACGCCATCCGTGCATTCATACTAATCACATCCATAGTATGTATGTATTTAGAAATATGTGTGCTCGGTTTACGGCAACATACTTGCATCTATTACGGAAGTGGCTACTAGGACTGGGACTAAACTGGCCTGTTTGGAGACATGTGAATTTGAACTGAATTAATCTTTGTCTTTAATTAATTAATTAATGTTCTTGTGGCGACAGATTAAGAATACGGAGTGTCACCGCCCCTATTCATCCCGTGGGTGGCGTAAGGTCGCAGGACAACAGCACTGCAAGAGAAGCAAGACTTGACACAAACCCTATACCAACCCGTCTGCCTGCCAACGTGGTGTAGTAGGCCAAAACGTTCTTTCTAAGGAGAGGCCTATGACCAGCAGTGGATTATTAAAGGCTGTTGATGATGATGATAATACATATTATCGATTATGTTAAAATAACTGTTGACGTTTCCTGGTTCTGAACTCCAAAAGCGGGGGATATTGTCCTGGTTTCCAAATTTTAAAGATGGCAGCCCTACCTCGTGTCAATCCGATTTAGGTATTCACCGAATCAACCAGAATCGCTAACCCCTAGACGTTTTTAGTTACAATGCCAAACATACGATTATGTACGCAATATTTGAATGTACAATCGAAAAAAGTGATGCCAAATTCTAATTTTGAATTGGTTGTATTTAGTATATTATAGTCGGAATTTAGGTACGTGATATATGTAAGTAAGCATTTACTTATGTTTGGTAGTAAGTAATGGTATGAACAGATTGATGGAAATAAGAGCAGTCGCAAAAGAGGCGCCACTTCATTTTCAGAAATTATACAAATATTAACTCATGTAGAAACAAATCGCCAAATAGAGTTACTTATATCTAGATTATAATGTGTATAAATGGGTTTTGTAAAAGACTCTTGTATGGAAGTCCTTTAAAACAGCACCGAATGAACTATGAAAATTTCTGACAGCTAATTTATACATTACTATATAAAAGTAGTAACCGATCCTTTTTTGTTAATATTTTCACATACCTATCAACACTATTCCCGAAAATATGGATAAACTTACTTATATTTTTTTATATCATGAAAGTAGCCTCTCCGATCGGGTACTCATCCCCAATAACTTCGAGCTACTGCAGTTTTAATTCCGTTTTCCCAATCCCATCCCATTGCGACAACTTTTGACCTATCTCTCCTTTTTTCCTTGCCCCAATTTACCTTCTACCTACGTACCGTATGAAAATGATTACATTCCCAATGATAATTGTCGCTGGGCATTCTTAAAAGAACCCAGTTAAAAACCAATGCAATATTGCGTCCTAACCCAAAATAAAATTTTGAACAGAGTAGGAAGATGTTGATGATAGGTATATTCTATAATTTCAATTATGGTAAAATTTTATGAAGTAAAGAAATTTAATTTGAATAATGTAATAAATATTAAATAATAAATATATTATTAAAAACTTAAAAAATTATAAGAAATATTAAGGATTGTTAAACAAAAAAAAAGTTAAATAACATTACCGTAAAAAATACATTTACATCATGAACTAACCGCGATGTGCGATGCGATACGGCACGCGTTAAAAATAAATGTAGTGTTGAAAATATATTGATAAAAATTGTTTTAATTCTTTAAATTTACATATTAAAAAAACGTTTACTATATATTTGATAAGAATTTATAACTCAAAACCAAGACAACTAGAATTTAATTAACACCCAGCTATTTATTTAAATTGCTTTCTGTTTTTATTGTAATAAATATTTACGTTAAATAATAATTACGAATTATATTTGAAAAAATCGGAAAATATTTGTACCTATAGTAAATACATGCAAATGATTTTAGAAAATAAATTCTGAATTATATTCGATCTAATTTTAATCTTAACTTACCGTATATTTGTTATTCCTGGCATTTTCCCTGTTGAAAATTTGCCCTTTCTCCTTCAAATCCACAATACTCCTTGCACTTGTTACAGCCATAATGATTAATTAACAATTATTCAAAAATAGTAGGTGTTTAGAATGACAAAATCTGTCACTTTTAGTACGCAAATGACGAATGATGGTTTTTGTTCCGGACCTCCAACACGCTCCCTCGGTAGGATCGCGACGAGATTCCAAATTGAAATGGTTGCGAAACATGGCGCTTCTTTTATATAAAAGCTGTATCGTTCGAGCTAGACATGAACGCGCCCCCGCGCTCTCGTTCCTTTCATATCTCTATTTAGTATGAGCTATAATCGTTTCTAAATGTACTCGTAGGTGTCCTGCAATGATTTTATTTTTGCAGAATAAAGCTCTATAAACAGAATAGGCACCTCTGGACATCACATCAATAGGATATTATTGGTTTCATTGGATTATTTCTCTTCATTGTTTCATTATTTTCAATACGTAGGTATAAAACTAATATGCATCGTTTTTAGAGTATCATCCCGAATTTGATTTGGCAAAGAGCTAAAAAGATAAGTGCATGTTAACATTGCGGGTTACATAATATAAGTCAGAGTTAAAATATATTTTATTACACTTCAAAAAAAATATAAATTGACGGTACATTTTAGTACCCTGACACCTAAAGCTATCCACTTGCAGGTCGTGAGTCTTAAATATGTTTTTACACTCTCGAATGGATTATCCCGTAGTTGCCTATCCCATTCTAAAAGGATTCTGCTTATTTCATCTGCATAAGCTCTCTTAATACCGTCTATAAATACCGATAACCGTGATAAAAAAATTATAATGATGAGAATATTTCGAGGACGTACTGAGGAATAATTAAAAGAATATTAGGAAAAGAAAATTCTGAATGTTTCACAAATTTAATTTGTCACTTTACAGACAGTAAATATAATAATATTATTGATCACTTTCAATCACATCCACTTTAGAAGAATATCTATCATGCTTATCATTAGAAGGGGATTTTAGAGCAAAATATTAAAAAATTGTAGTGTGTACTGTTTTATTAATTATCAGAAATAATCTTTGTTTTTACTAGAAATGTCTCCTTAAGATTTAGTTTGAGGGTTGCGATTTTTTCCACTTTTACAGAGGGAGTGTGGTTAATCTTTCTTACATGTTATCAAATGTAATTACGAACATTTCTCATAACCACTGATTTCCTGTTGTAATTAATTTAATAAAAGAGAGAATGAATGTTCTTCTTCGATTGCCTCGAAACTTTGAAACAACCGCTCCGATGAAGTGCACGTGTTTTTCAAATATGTCTTGTACAGACTGAGACAGAGGAACTGTAATCCACATTGTGAAGTTGTGGAAAACTCCATATACAATGAAATAAAAAATATACTTCAGTGACATCTAACGAAGGAGATGAGTGGGTGGATCCTCCAGTAGTGATCCTGACGTGATTTCCCTTCACCTTCAAAGAAGCAGATCAGTAGTAGCATTATCACCACCAACGTGTACACTCTTAAAGTGATGAGCGGTTATCACAGTCACAGCCAGCTAGTAACCTCGGCCTCAACAGGGATAAACCACTGCTCCTGCTTGGTTACTCCTACGGCTTCATCAGCGTCTTGGCGCAGCACACTGCATATACGGTCCACGTAAGAAGATAATTTCTCTCGCGTCTACCAGCCGCCAGCCACTACGCAGTAAGCGCCCGACTCATTGGAACTGGTACTTAGTGGTGGTGGTGGCACTCAGTTCCGACTTACTGGAACTAGTAGCACTTACTTAGTTCTGACTCACTACTGGCACTCTCAGAGCAAGGACAGCGTACTCATGATATACCTACGGTTTTGAAGGAGAGGTATAGCGACATCCACATACTATGTAACAAAAAAAATTAACGAAGATAGACTGATCTACGGAGTAATTTCTTATTCTGTATGAAAAGTTCTCACGCCGATTAGCATATGTACAACTTTCCAACATCAACCGTTGGGCCGCGGTCCGCCGGGCACGATCACCTAGCCTGGTAGGACGATCTTCCCTTTGAGTTCCTCCACAAGCTGATAAATTTTACGTATTATATAAACATCCACATCAACTTCAGTTGATTGGACTTCAACAAAGAGTGGATTTAATTTAATATTTATAATTATTAGGTAAGACCGGAACGGCAAGGCTAAGCTAAGCTAAGACTAATGGAAACAATTAGTATTCATATTCATTCACATTTTGCTCCAGAGACACTAAGTAACTTTGTTACTAACTTGTGTATAAAAATAAAATGCAATGCAAATGCAGAATACGATGCTCAGATTCTAATACATTCGTGAAACAGTTGGTTGTTTCTGTTCAAATGTTTGGGCACTTTTCATACAACGTCTATGCAAGTTTAATGCTTAACAATAAGATTTGTAATACACATAATACAATAAGAATAAGATTTAAGAAGCTGAGACTGTTTTGTTGCATAAATTAACGTTTTGTATATTTTTGTTTACTACTGCTAAATCAGCGACCTGTGCTTGCTTCCATAAACTCACGTATTTTACTGTGAAACACTTATTTTTGTTTCGAAACTATTAGCGCTGATGTATCTTCTTTCTCAGAAACAGAAAAGAAATAAATAAATAGCTCTACTGGTGTTTAAATGCATAGTTTTACTCAAGCCGACAAATTACAACCTGTCCGTCGTGATATGGTCACACAAAATAGAGTTCAGAACGCCTCATGGCATGGCCATAATACGAATTTCGCGATGGTGGTATTACTGTGATTGCCACAACGCGTTGGGAGCGTTTTCATGAAAACCGTAAAACGTTATGTTGTGGTCATTCTGTGATTGCCACAACGCGTTTTAGCTTCTTTTTTTTAATTGCTTAATCGCTCGCAAATGACGGAACGGTTAGGGTTTATACTTTAATAATTAACGTAATTAGCGAAAAATATAATTCTTACTTATTCTTAAATTCGTCATGGAAATGAATAATTTATAATAATACTAAATAAAAAATGCGGTGTCAAATGTGATAGACATAAATTACAGATCTCGTTATCAACGATTTTGATCTATTAAATGATCTATTGTTATTCGGTTTTATTTGAGAAGTTAATATTTTCAACATTTTACTCCTAATTTACTTTTTGTACCCGCAACTTCAAATTTCCCTAAGATGATTTTTCCATAATAAATCTGAAGTGGCAAGAAATGAGACACATTTTGTTACCCAATTGCTTATTTAAAGTTTAGTATCGACTTAAAAACCAGTTATGACTCTTTCGAATACATCAAAAAACCAAACTGCATTATAAATCATACCAAAAAAAAAACATTTTTGTTTCAAAATCTTTTTCACCCCCCCTCAAATTGAAGTATCTACTTTTATCAAAGAAATTAGTAACCCTAAGAATGGTTCCTAAGAAACAAAGTATAAGCTAAATTAGCTACTTTATTCTATTTTAGCTGCATTAGAGCGGCCTTAAAACGCATGACAGAGATGTCATGCGTTTCAAGGCTCAATTCGGTCACTAGGACCGAATGCAGGTACCTCCCGAAGCAATCTTGCCCGGAAAGGATTTGCATCAGTCGAAAGGGTCTCATGTTGACACCTTGTCTACTTGACCTCGACTCGACCGGCTGGAACGCTTTCAAGACGGTCAAGCAAGTTAGGACGTTCAACGTTATCAGGGCGGGCGGCGAGTGGCTTCCCGCCACTCGCGTATCTTTTCGGTATTTATGCAGTAAACACGTATGGCTCTGGGCGCCAATACCCTCTTTGGACGCCGGAGGCGCGCCCTATTCGAAGCGGTTAGAGATTTCCTGCCTACAACGGTGCCTACAGCGTAGAGGTCCGGGAACTGCTTAAAAGATATGATACATCGATATTGTTTTTAGAATGGCAAAGTAGGTACTTCTTTCGGAATACACAGGAATACAATTGGTAATAATTTTGGGCATTTGCCACCAGGTAGTAACCAACTATTTATGTATTTTTTTAGTTTTGGAAAGACCCAAACAAGATAAGAATGGGTCGGTGGGCGAGTCAGATTCGCACGTGTCCAGTGTATTTGTGTTACTAAGTTCATTTTAGTTCATTAAATTACATAATTATATATGCCACACATAACATGCCTAACAGGATTTTTATTTTTAAAACGTATTTATATCTAACCATTTTTAAAGGCCCCAGTTTTTGCAGTTTGATGGTTTGGACAAAATTATATGTTTGTTATTGAATTGTTTAAATTGAAGTGGTTCCAAGTCAAATTGTGTTGGTTGTGACGATCAATTAGGGTACTAATTGGATAGGACGAAAAACCTAAGGTAAATAAGACTTCAAGTCTAGGATGGGAAACTGGACTAAGGCTGCAGAAGTTTAAAAACTAAAGTAAGGCGTATTATATACATATTGTATTAAAAATAAAAACAATTTCTATTCTGGGCATTATATATGTATTATGTATTTATCTATTGCTAAGCTACCTAGTTTGAAGGAGTTCTACAAGTGAAAAAGCAAACCTTGGATGGTAAATTATTAGTATGTATGATATACATATATTATGTATTTTATATATATATATTTTTTTACACTAAATGCAACGTATGTATGATCGTCGTACGTATACATGTACTTAGAAATATATAAGTAGTTTACTACCAACTGGGTTTTTAAAGCACAGGCTCTGCTTGAGATGCGACGGTCGTGTAAGATGTCTTAATTTTTTTTATTTATTATTTACATTTATAATTTTTTGACTCAAGTAATTGCGTTTAGTACTAGCGATAGTTTTAAAGATGAAAATTTATTTAATCTATTTTTCTCACAAATTTTAAATGTGAATTTTATTGATCATGATCTAACCCATAATAAGTTTGGAAAAATACAGGTAAAAAAATACAGTGCAGCTTACTAATAAAATACATGCTAAGCAGTTAATTATTTAGAAGGAACATCGTTAATTAATGTTGCGAATTATTTTAACGCTGATTACGGCGCAGGCGAATAGCCAACCATTGTACTTGGGAACGTAAAGTAAACATGTGGTCATACTTTCGAAGAATG